ATTCCTGGCATCTGATTCTTAAAATTCTGTAGATTACCTAATCATGTAGACCACGATTAGAGTTATCCTCTCTTTCTAACCCGCTGTGTAATGTAGCCCCTGTTATCTGAAAGCCATGGTATCAAATCTGCTCCTAAAACTGATGAGCCTTTCTAGAATTGATGGCTGAGAAATGCGCCTGCAAAACCTGCATTGAGATACACTCCAATAATAAAACAGAAAATGTCTTTAAACAAGCCTTCTACATCTTTGTGTAGTGTTTTCTGAGCACTATTCTTTAAATTCCTCATTTTGCTACTTTGAAGCCAGTTTTGAGGTTTTAATGTTAGGTTTTGTGGTGATTGGACCAGAACAGTAAATGATATTTAGTGATAGTATTTAGCAGACACTTATTTTTAAGATGGTAAGCAAATATGAGAAGTAGCAGCACAGAAAACAAAAAAAAAAAAGGACTAGGAAAGGATGAAATAAAATAAATGAATTTATAATCTATTAATAGCCTATGTACAAAGGCTTTGATAGTATTTGAGATTATACCACTGTGCTTTATATGTCCAAATTAGATACTTGGATGTCAGTCCTAAAAATTCAGAGCATTCAGTATTTTAACCACTTTAAATTGATAATACTTTTATAATAATTAAGTGTGAATACTAATTTATCAATTCAAATGCTGTCTCTTTTTTCCTTTTTTGCCTGTCAGGAATTGAGATTTTGCTTTGCAGTTTTTGTCATTGAATTGCTATTCTTGACCCTATAAACGAATGAAAGATCCAAGTTTAAAAGGCAGTTAATGTACACAAACATTAATCAAAAATTGCTTGATTACAGTTTATTGTTTGAAAGAACTGTAGATTAATGATTCTGTAGGATACACACTGATATGAAAAACTAAGCATACTTCTGGAAGGCTCTGATCCAATATTAATACATGATAGGGCATAACTGCAGCTTTTATTTTGCTTCACAGTGTCACAAGAATGGAAAAATAAGTAATGAACTTCATTTTCTCAGAGCTTCAGTGAAGAATGCTGTGTTCCCATCATTATCTATTTGCATTGAGGCACCAAACCTTAGCTTCTTGATGAATTTTTATTCGTGAGCCCAGTTAAAGATACAATCCTGATTCTTATGTGCTTTTTATCCGGTGCTTTTGGGTAGCTGTTCCTGTCCATACAGAAATATCTGTACCACTAAGTTAGGATTTACACCAGTAAATACCCACTCCTCAAAGTGCAATGGTCAGCAGAATGACAGGGATAGTTGAGGCTCATCTCACAGCTTTACCCCAGAGCTCTGAAAGAGGTAGTGAGGGCTTGGAAACAGCCCGTCTGCATAGCAGGAATAGTAAGTGGTCAGTGAGTTCTTTTACTGTCCCTTAGAGAACTTGCATCTGTACCTTCTGGCTTGTGTTAAATTAAGAAGTGACAGCACATATCATGAAATTACAGTTCTTTGGTTTAATCCTATTGTTTTACTGAAAAAGAGGGTTGACATTCTCCAATATCTGTAGGAATTTTACTTTTCTCCTGAATTATCATCAAGCACCAAGTATATTTAGGTCAGTGCATCAATATATGACACAATTAACCAAACATACTAGATAGTAAAACATATAATTATTAAACATTGGGCTTTTTTTGATGGGGGTGCTAAGTGAGTGAGCTCTGCTTAGGTTAGTGTAAGTCTGTTCATCAAGTAACTTGTGTCAGGAATTGAAAATGAGATAGGAACAGATTTTCTGGGGTAGGTGCAAATCAAGTCAAAATACTACATAGATACAGGTTTTTAAAACAAGACAGTATGCTGAGACTGGGTTTGGGGTTGTTCTTAGTATCAAAAATTTAAAATCCAGTGGTGGTTTTGTTTGTTGGTTTTTATTTTTTATTCAATTGTATGCTAAAAAAACATCACCGTGTTCAATTTTGTGAACTTGCTGATCAAAAATTGGAAAATATGTAATAAATTTTTGCATAAGGAATAAGATCATGGCACACACATTCTCATTGCAATAGATGTGAGGAAAAATTACGGAAGAGGATTTTTATTAATTGTAGCTGTTGAAGTTGAAGTGGACCATGATCATAATCTGGACCTGACCACACAGTAATTCCTTCATTAAATCTATCCTTTTAAAATTTATTTTGGGTACAAGTAGCCATGTCTTTTAGGAATTGTTTAAGTCTTCATACAAAATCTTCAAGTCACCCAGAACTGATGTGTTACTGAAAAATATGTACCATATTTGCAGTGTAACTGTATCCTCTGATTCCAGAGAAAAGAGCTGTCATCTTTTCTATGTATTAGTTAATAATGAGCAGACAACCTTTTAATGTTTTATGTGTGATCAGTTACGTTGAGTCTCTTTTGTTTCTCACTGCCAAGTTTATTTTTCAGTAATTTTCTAGCTGTTTCCTGATGTGGTTACAGTCTTTCAGATATTCACAAGAGTGTGACATGAGCACCAGATGTGTAATTCAGTTTATGGTCTTATGCTACTGTGTAGAGATACAGCAAACTGCGTGATTTTTGTTTCTCTGCCTGTATTTTTCCTGGTGAATTGAAGATTGTATCACATGTCACTTCTACCATGATCTGTAAAGCCCTATTTGAGATCCTTGATTTCAGATTCCCCTGTCTTCTAAACTTGCCCTGTATGTTTTCCAATGATGATACCGTATTCATGCTTTCAGGCATGTTTATGTGGCTGATAACCTTTATTCAGCTCATCCTAAATATGTTCAGTTTTCCAAGCAGTCTTGGTCAGGCTTTTCTTTCAGATCATGGAAATATGGAACAAGTTTGGGATGAGAAAGATATCTGCAGGTCCCCTTCCTTCCCCAGCAAACATTCATTCTCTATAGAGCTAATTTTTCTGACACTGTGTCATGTGGCACATAATGAAATGTCTTACAGAAATCTCAGCATATTATTTCAAAGCACTTACCTTATCGAAAAGAGTCTCTATGTAATTGGAACAGATAGAAAATTCTTTTGACAGGACCAGGACTCAATAAACCAATGTTGATTGACATTAACTGAGCTCCAGCTTTTAATTTATTGCTTATTGTATATCGGGATCAGTGTCAAACTATATAGTCTTTAATTTTCCATAAAACTCTGTACAAATATTTGACAATATTTGATTTTTCAGCTCTTCTAGAATTCTGCCAAAAAGAGATCACACAAATAATTGAAGTGAAAATGAATGTCTGCCTGTTAGAGGAATTACAATGCCCTAGCAGCAAACCAGCTGTGTGTAGTTAGGAGGAGTCATTTGGAAACATACCGAGTTGCCCATTTTGTTGATTTGTGCTGTTTTTAAGGATGTCACCAAAGATTAACCTAATGCATTCTGTTAGTGAAATAGGATCAAACTACTCAGTGGAAAAGAAATCCTTCAGTCTTTCTTCAACCTTTACTCTGGCAAAACTCTTGTCAACTTGAAAGTCAGTTCAATTAGCATTACTAGGCCTGAGCAAGAGTGGCTCCTGTAGAATTCAGAGGGAATGACTTGTGTTTTCAGTGAGGCAAACCCAGCCCACTGGAAGTTTTACAGAACCTGTCCCTTTGTTTCAAAAAATAAATAAGAATATTCAGGCCTCGCTGTGTCTTCGCTTTGTGTGGTGTATTTGTGCAGACCTTATAACTGAGATGTGTTCCAAGTTAATTGTAAAAAATTTACCCACATTTCTTCTGTGTTAAATGATAGCTAAGTTTATAGTGGACTGTCAGATTTCTTTACTTAATTCAGCAACATGCAAGACATCTATCTTAACATCTGGTTTTTAATAACAGTTGACATCTGGGAGCTCTTTTTTATTCCAAGAATGGACTAGGAACAGTAGTGATACTGGCAGTGTATATTTTCAGGCTAAAATTTCTGTCCATTCCAATCATAATTAATTACCATTCATTTTATTTAGTTTTTAGATTTAATTAAGTGCCAGCAATATGTTACACCAGCTAACTTTCAAGGCTCCAAAACTATAGAATGTATTTTTTTTTCATGTTTCTAAAATATTAATGGGTGAATCTAGAATTATATGATTTTATTTGGTTTCGAAATGCTGAGTTCAATGAAAAAACACTGTGTTGTGCACCTCTATGTCCTAGAAGCTGAGTATCACATCATTTGGCACAGTAGAGCTGTATATAGAGAGCTCTGCACATACACATCTCTGTGTGTATAGATAAAGAATGATGGTACAATTGTAATCTTCAGTAAATGTATCCTGGGAAGAACATTTCACTCTTCTGATTTAGTTCATGCTTTTTATTTTGTTTTTATTAACTTCAAGTTTATAAAAAATGTGAAGAAAGACCTTCTGCTTTCAGCTTATCTGCCATAAAACAACCACTTTTAAAAACAATTTCATGAAATTTTTGTGTTTGCAATTAATTTTATTCATTATTAAAACTCTAAATAAATGAGTAATGTTAATGGTTCAAAAATGGAAAAAAGAAAAACTATCTAATAGTATTCAACAATGTGCACTGTTTAACATTTGTTTAAAAGATAGAGTTAATTGATAGCGTGATGTAAAAGTGTGCCTCGCTAATGACAGAATTTTGTTGTTCAGGAGTTTTGTATCTTTTAACCAAACAGAATTTAAGACAGTTTGATTATACTAATTACTTTGCTTACTTACAAGGTTTGATCTTTGCTGTCAATGTTGTTTAGAATTGCGTGCAAATAAAAAATAGATAATCTTTTAATATTTAATCTTATAATCTACTTCCTACACACTGTTTTAACTAGGATGGAAAAATATGTACGTCACTGTTGTTGTTTTTTTGGTTGCTATAGATGCGGATTCTTGTATATGTAACACAAGCTTGTTCACTTGTTTTCACTGGCTTATGTTTAAAAAAAAAAGAAGTCACGTTTTTAACAGCCAAGAAAATTGTATTTTGTGTGCACCAAAGTAACTAACCTTTCCTTCTTTCATTCCAATGCCAACACCTTCTCTGTGCATCTCCTAACATCTGGCACGCAGGATGATGAGGAGGGTATATGGGCATAGCCGTTCCTATAAACCAAAGTTCCAGTTTTGTTTTGAGGGGTGAGAAACTCTCTTTTCTATCTTTTTTTCAATTTTTATGTTTTATTTTAAACTGTGTGGAGCTGTGTGTTTTTTGACAAGTGTGTTTGTGAACCCACACGTGTGTTTGTGAAGATGTTTTCTCATATGCAATGAAAAATGAGAAGCTGTGTCTAATGGTTTGGTGGTCTAGTGGTTTCGTTTTTTCATAACTTACTGTGGCTAAAGGTGTAAGTAGGTACAAAGCTTTAAAAGAAGTCTATTTGTATCTGTTTGTATCTGTCTAAACAATTTTCTTTTTTCAGTAGGTAGGTAAGAATTTCTTTAAACTAGTATTAATCTGCTATATCATCTCAACAATCCCTCTAAGAACACTGTAATATTATTGCAGAACGTGTGTGATACTTAAGAAAGTTTGCCACAGATTAAGCATGGAATCTCACTGGAATAGAATTTATAATATGCATGGAAAAATGAGACTACCTCTTAAGCTGAAATATTTTAATGAAATTCTAAAATAAGCAGCAGATTCTTAGCAAGGATGGTATAATCTCTCTATGCAATTCATATTCTGTGCCTGAAACAGTATGATGGAATAACAACCATGCAATAGTTTGGTTGTGATAGTTAAGACTACAAAGTGCAGCTCCTTTTGTTTGTCTCTCAGTTATGAGTAAATACTGTATTGTCATCGTGAGTCACTTATTGATGGATGCATATCCAGTTCTTTGGTGCTTGGCTTTGAAGCTGGAGGTAATTTGCAGCTCATGATCACCGTGTTCTCAACATTGCTGAGACCATCAGGCTTGGTGGTTTTCTTCTAGAAAATGTTACTCACTGCTTCTCATAGGAGCAGTTTTATTTGCTGCAATGGGCCTGTTCAAAGGAGCAAAATCTACTCTTATGAGTAAAGATTATTGTATTATTAAAGCTTCCATACTTTATATTGCTTTGACCCCTGTCACCCCAAGTCAAAGACTTGTATGATTTGCTTCCAGCTGTATTATAAGCCATGTTGTAAGTCCATTGTTCTATTTGATATGAATAAAATCTTCAAAATATTTTTTGTTCTTATATGTTTAGTTTTCAGAATAGTTGTGAAATGCAAAATTAGTGCAATCCATAATGAATAATTTGAATTTCCTTTTTAAAAAAATGTAAAAATTTAAAATTCCATTACAGAGAACTTTAAGATTCAGTAATTTTAAAATAAAATAATGGACACTATGATACCATTAACATTTAAAAGAAAGCAACCTTGGTTTATCAGAGTATAATTATAAATCTTTCTGGATTTTATGCTTTCTGATTCAGTCCTAAATGGCGTGCTGGTACCGGTTGTATGTGTAGGTAACCTCTGTGTTAATGGACACACATGTTGCATGTGGTAACAGTAGGAAAGGATGTGTCTCATATTCTAAATTTTTTCTGGTTTCTTTCTTCTTTCCTGAAAATAAGCAGCCTGAGAAAGAATTTGGAGCTGTTCTTTTACACACAAAATGTAAAAATTTAAGAACAGTCATTCCTCTTTCATGCTTTTGTGCAAATGCCAACATAGTTTATCTTCTATTGTCACATATCAGACTTTTGACAAATAACTTGTTTGCTGTTTCTTTTCAGGGGGAGGATCTCGGCAAAGGTAGTTTAACAAATAGCTGGTAGCAGGCACAGCCAGTCCTGCAGACTGAACTCATAAGTAGACCTGTCCTCGTGGGTAGAATAGCCATGACTCTGGTGGAACTGCTATCCTAAGGTGGAAGTTCATGTCACAGACCTCCTTCCCTATGGGAAAAAAAATAATTTAGGTCCCAGACCTATAGACCTTTCTGAAAACACATGGGAATACTAAATTTCCTCATATTCACTGTTAAGAGCTGTAAGTATATCTTAAAAAGATATACTTAGAAAAAATAATGGATAGATGTCTCTATTGTGCACAGGCTTGAGAGCAAACAGATTGATTTGGCTGTGTGAGCACAGGAATTGGCATTCTCCACTCTCTTTAAAAAGTTGTAAGTTAAAAATCATGGAAGTCCCTTTAAACTTGACTGCTTTAGTGTTCAAATGCTGCACAGGAGTGACATGAAATGATGGTGGAGATGTAGAGTGGCAGGGCAAGGATGTGTTGTGAGTTTATAGAGAGCTAGTTACTCATTAAGAATCAGACAAGGTGTTCAGGAAAATCTCACTGGCCAGCCAGTTTAGTAGCAAATGTAGCTGCATGGCTTGAGTGTTGTTAGAAACAGGATCTCTTTTGCTCTCCTCACACTTACAGCGGGGAAAAAAAGAAAGAAAATCGGAGGCGATGATAAGTTTTAAGAATAAAGCCTATACAGCACTCTGTCATGGGTAACTGAAGCCATGTGACCTTCAGCAAATATGTTTTGTGACACAGCTGGGAGTGCAGGTAGAACACAAGTGCTTGTTTTCCCTTTCCAGTTCCTAGCACTGAAGCACAGCAGACACTGGAAAACCAGTTGGGACTTTGCCACAAGCTGTCTGTGTGTGCCTGTAAGAGAAATCAACACAAAACCTGTTTGGACAGTATTTGTTTGTACAGTACTGTAGACTTTGTTCTTTGTCAGGTGTGTGAAGTAAATTGGATGTTTGAAAAGATGCTTAGGAGTGTTTGGGCAAATTTATTGTCTGTTATATCCTTAGAACAGGGTTACCTTCACACCTGAAACAAAGAACGACTGAAGCTTGTGCCTGGCAGCAAATGATGTCTGAAAATGGAATCATGAGGCTAGTCTGCTAAATTTGGATTTAGGAGCAGAACATAAAGTCAGTAATTTTAAAATTTTGCCTTGTAAGACACTCTGGAGCCATCAGTGTCATTCTGTAAACTCCTTCAAAGCAGAAATTTCTACAGCATGGGCAAAAGAATATTGCTCAGGCAAATATTCACTGTTCGCTTCTAAGTATTGGATGTGTTTTATGTGCTTCAGGGAGGAGGAGGCTGTTTTAAAACAAATGTGGTGCCTGGCTTTGTCTTTGCTGAGATGTGGAAACAGTTCTCTTTCAAGATGACCTTACTAATAGCAGTATAAAGCACACAAAATTTGGCCATGTTGCTATATAAGGATATGTTAAAAGACATTAACTATTAGCTATTGTTCTGCTTTTTGTTTTCATTGTTTCAAGTCTTGATTTTTGTACATAATTTGTATTTTTTTTTGTGTTTGGATGTTCTGTTTAGCCTGTGTTGGAAAAAACATGCTAACTTTGAAATGAGCCTCAGTAGCATGGAAAAATAAGGAGCATGACTGTTTGCAGTGTTCATTTTAATTTTCTCATAGAGTGTATGAATACTAGCTCTATGCTTAATTAGCTAAATGGGTGTTGCTGCATTGACTGGAGCCCCAGGGCATTTTGGATTTGTGAATTTTTAGGCATGATTGTTTTACTGCAACTTAGTTTTTACTAAACAAAAGGAGGAACCTCCCAAGGAATGTTTGTTTTGCAAACCATGGGCAGATTTGTGACTAGTCTTCATTCCTGTTAAAATACTTTTATTCATAAGAGAAGACATTTATAGATTTTATTTTGATTGTGAAATTTTATATTGGTTAAAAAGTTACTTTTCTCTTCTTGTTAAAGATGTCATTACTACTGCTAGTATCTTGAGGTATTAATTGCCCACTACAGAAGACAGAGAGTTCATTAAAAGTAGGATTTTGTTTAGCTGTGTGTGTTTGGTTATTTTTTATTGATTACACACTGGAAATATGTGAATCACTTGACAAGTATAAAACTCTTTCTGTGTTTCCTATGAAATGGATGATCAATAAAGATCATCAGCATTGTTCCTTTGAAAAAGAAAAAAAAGAGTCTTTGTTGCAACACTGCTGTGGCCAAATTACATGAGAGTCATGGGCAGAAGTTGAAATTCTGAACCCACTGAAGTCAGTGAAAGCCCTGTTATTTATTTCAGTCCTGTTCAGTTTTCACTGAGAGCAGTTTCTTTCTTCTGATTGTTCATATTCATAGTAGAAAAACATCTGTTCATATAGACCTATGTATTCTCAAAACTATTTGTATGAACTAGATGTCTTTTAGTTTACCCTGACAGGCATCTCATGTCAGGGTATACATCTCATGTCATACCTGGTATATATGAGACACCAAACCATGCTCGTGTCTGGCTGTAGAACTGCATTGGATAAATTCAGCAGTTTTTTTGTCTGTCACTTGTATTTTAGGTGTGAGAGTCAGGCCATTCTGCCTGAACTTAGGCCTCAGATTCTTCACTGCAGCTGCAGGAGGTGTTAAAAAAAAATTGGAAAATGTAGCTGATGAACTGAACTTCAAAGCTTTTGATGTAGTCAGTCTGAAGACAACAATCACAGGGCCTAAAATCATCAGTCATGCTCTTTTATAATCTTCCATAGTAAAAATAAATAACATACCAGAGCAATTTTTAACACCCTAGAAAGTTAGAAAAGGCAGAATGTGTTTTCACAGCTAATCTTAGTTTCAAAATTATATAGTTGCTTTGAGTATTTAATCACTGATTTAACAGCTAAGCTGAAGTCTTGAAAAAATAGTGAAAATCTGCTCTAAAGATATGAATTCAGTGATGAATTGCATTGTGTTGGATTGCACTTCTACAAATATTTGTGGGAATATGTGAAATTGCTATTATTGTATTTGACTTGAAAACAGTTTCAAAGAGTTGCCTGCACAGCATTCTGCTTGGAAGGTTTGGATTTGCTTGGAAGCAGAAGTGCCACGTGACCTAATCAAAGGTTATATGACCTGAACTTTTGAATGTAAGATTTTACAATTGAATACTAAAACATGAAAACACCAATTCTGAATAAATGAAATTTATATAAATTGCTTTGGAAAGCTTATGAAAACATACAAGAGGAAATGTTCATTAGAGTACAGAAAATATGTACCTAATTAAAATTTTCTAGTATCTAGTATCTATTTTTAATATTCTCTTAGTTACAATGCTATAATGCCACTTCCAAAAAAAAAAAAAAAAAAAAAATTAAGAAAACCTCCCTGTGCTG